CCAACATTTTGAATGATTTTATTTTGCTGTCTTTAAACAAATCTCTCAGTGTATTAATCTGATAGTTTTTCCAGGATTTCACTGTTACATTTTCGATACTGATTTCTAGTACTTTCAAACTTTGAAAATCAAAAATTATATCGTCCATATCTATTTTTGTTTTTATTTTTTGCCAAATAGGAATAATCTGTCCAAGAATATAAGATCCCGTTAGCTGAATTTTTTTTATATTCCAAATAAACTCTAAGGGGTCTTTTACTTTTGTTGCTTCTAACTCAAATTCCAACCAAAATTCTTCTTTATTTTGTTCTAACAAACTAGCCATAATATACATAATTATTCCTGCTTCATAGTATTTGTTAATGTTTGGATGCCCTAATCCTCAATTTTTTATTCCTCTTGATAATGTTGTATTTTTAATTCCGTTTTTTTTTTATTTTTTGACAAACAAAGTTTGAAAAAGCTGTATTTATCATTGACAGCCACGGCTTTGGAATTTCCAAAGGCAACATCCTAAACAAGTATATCCACTTTGGCAAAACGTATGATTTCAAAATATTTATTCTACCTCCCCAAGATACTTCTAGTTTTTTCCATTCTTTTAAGTTTTTATTTGTTTCCTTAAGAAGATCCATAAAATTTATCCGCATGATATTTTTGATAACCTTCGAAATTTTCATTCCCAAATAAGAGAATGTCTTAGTATTAATAAAGCCGAATGCTTTTGATATAAATCTATATCTTGTTTTGGCAAATTTATATACATAACAGATGATTTTGCGTTATTTAACTTGTAGTTTGAAACCGTACTGTACAGCTGTATCTCTTCCATCACATTTGGAAGCGAGATTGACTGTTTACTTAGAAATAAAATAGCGTCGTCAGCATATAAAGATAATTTTATTTCTCTTTTTTTTTTATTATACATGCTTTAATCTTAGTATTTTGTCTGATTTTACACGCCAGTACTTCCAGAGTCAATATATAAAGTATAGGGGATAAAGGACATCCCTGTCTGGTCCCGTTTTTTTAAATTGAACCAGTTTGAACACAAACCTGGGCCTATTGTTCTGGCCATTGGAAATACTTGTATGCCTATTTCTTCTAAAGTACACTTCATAAAGTCCCAGCTGACACTGTCAAAGGCCTTTTCGGCAAATCCAAGACATCTATTAATCTTCTAATGTTGTTATTTGACATTCTATCTGGCACAAAGCCTGTTTGATCCTGGTGGACCAGCTGTTTAAGAACTTTTTTAAGTCTTCCAGCAATTATAGAAAAGAATAACTTGATATCAACATTGATTAAAGATATTGGGCGATAACGTTTGACATTAGTAGGATCTTTCCCTGGTTTCAATATTGGTATAATATTAGCTTTTATAATTTCACTTGGAAAACTACCTTTATTAACTGCAAAATTAAACATGTTTTTCAAATGTTCCAATAATTGCATTTTCATTAACTTAAAAAATGTATTCCCAAAACCATCCGGGCCTGGAGTTTTATAATTTTCAAGACTATCTATTGCCCTATTAATCTCTTCCTCCGTTACCTCTTTATTTAAGTCCGAGATTTGAATATCTGTTACTTTATTTAACTTAGCTGATTTGATATATTCTTTAATTATTTTTATAGAAGTAGTTTCCAAAAGACTATAAAGCTTGGCATAATAGTCATTGAAAGCCTTTCCTATCTCCCCGGGCAAAAGGCATAGAGTTTCATTACTCATTAATTTATCTATCTGATTGCTTGTAATTTTTTTTTTTTAAGCTTAGTGGACAATATTTTATCTGCTCTATTCATTTTATGATAAAATTTAACATTTAATTTCAACATATTTATATGAATTTTTTCACAAATCTTGTCTTGAATATGAGATTTAATAAGTGCTATTTTTATCTGATTTTCTCTGCTAGGATTGGCACTATTTTCCTTACTTAGATTATAGAATTGAATGTGCAGATCTTGTAAACTAGCACCATTTTTTTTTTCATTTAATGTCTTTAACATGATACAATGGCCCCTTATTACTGCTTTATATGAACACCATAAGGTGGCTTCATCTACCTGTCCATTGTTGTTTTCTTGGAAGAAAAGCTTGGTAATTTTATCTATATGCTCCATGTTATCCTTATCTGTTAGTAGAATATCATCTAACCTCCAAGTATTCTGATTATTTCTTCTGAAATTACTATTTTTTAATTCTAGAGAAACACTATTATGATCAGACCATATTAATGGTTTTATTTCTATTTTATGAATTCTTTCTATTAATTTAAGTTCTCCAAATATATAATCTATTCTCGAATGAGAATCATGAGGCCAGGAATAGAATGTAAATTCTTTAGCATCTGAGTTTTTAATTCTCCAGATATCATATAGTCCTTCCCTTTTTAACAAATTATTAAAAGTTCTTGCATTTTTTACAACTTGATTATCCCAAGATATCTGTCTTTCAGAAAATGTATCCATTTTGGGGTCATGTGTGCAATTAAAGTCTCCGGCATATATCTTTAAACCTACCCCAACCTTTTCTGCTTTATTTAATACTTGTTTTAGTAAGCTCATATGATTTTTATTGGGCAAATAGACATTTACCAAAGTAAATAACCTTTCATTGACTGAACATACTAATATAATGAATCTACCTTCCGGGTCTGCTTCTGTATACTTTACATTAATTTTAAGGGCTTTAGAGAAAAATATTGCCACCCCATCTCTCTTACCCTGCTCTATGGAAGCACATATTTTTACAGGAAAAAATCTGCTAACCCATCTTTTTCCATCTTGTTGTCACCAATGAGTCTCCTGAACAAAAGCGATTTGAACATCCTCTCTTCTTACGTAATCTTGAAAAGCACGTCTTTTTTGTGGAATATTCAATCCCTGAATATTAATCGTTATCATTTTAACCATATTCAAATATCCTTTTTATATATAGATTGAGCAACTCTCGTAAACATACAAGCAAGCTAATACAAAAAGGCTTACCTAGGACATCACCTACATACTCTAATAAGAACATATAAACATACATACAGAAGACTCTAAAGAGAGTCAAAAACAACCAATTTACTGGGTGGGTCTTATTGCCCACTATTTAACCTTTACATAGGTTTGGTGGTAGAGGCTGAGCCCCAGAAAAAGGGAGAACATTAGTTATTATTCGATTGAAATTTAGGTGAAGCTATCATGTAACAGTTAACCAATTCTCTCCTGTTACACCTCTTATATTATTTTTTTATAGAAATATCTATACTATAGAAGCACATTAATTTATTGACTTAAGATTTTTATCAGTAAGCTTAATCTAAAGTTTGACCCAGACTGTAGAGGTCCTGACTTGATATCTTTCTAACCCTTTTTTCTCTTCTATTCACTCTCCCTGTTCTCCTCCTCCCTTCAAGCCCGGAAGAGAAGAGGAGAGAGAATAAAATAAATAAAAAAATATTTTATCTTCCCCTTTTCCTTTCCTTTCTATAGTGAATCACTTCTATTGTTCTATTGTGCCCACAAATAATTATATTTCTTATATTAGCTTAAGTATAACTACATTATTTATTTTTAATCAGTTTAAGCTTATATTTTCTATTATTTCCATCCTTTATAGTAACTAACTTATATTTCTATAATAATTATGACTCTTTATACTCTGGTGACCCAATCAAAGATTTGATACTATTCTTTTACTATAATCGTGAGAGCCTTATTTATTTACTTTTCATTAACATATTACATTATTTCAGTGCCGTGAAACTCATCTGATGGTATAATCAAAATTCGCATATCTTCTTCCTATTTTTCTTTATATTTGTATTACATGACTTGAATTCTAGATATGTCTTGTTAGAATTTTATTTTACACAAATATTCTAACTCTATGAGAGAAAAAAAAAATATTTTCTCTTCCCTTTTTCTATTCCTTGTTATAGTGACTAACTTATCTTTCTCTAATAATTGTGACTCTCTAAATTCAGCTAAACTAATCAAAGACTTATTACTTTTTCTTTTTCTATAATCCTAAGTGCCTCATATATATACTTTCTATTGGGGGTGTTACATTATTTCAGTGCCGTGAAGCTCCTCTAGTAGTATAATCAAGATTCATATACCCTCTGCCTAATTTGCTTTATACTCATATTGCATGACTTAAATCCTAAATACACTTTGTTGAAATTCTCTTTTACCAAAAAAAATTTTTTTTCTCATGTGAACAGTACTTATACTAATGGTTATATAAAAAAAAAATTAAAAAAAGTCAGCAGGCACTCATTCAGTCCAGGTCTTCCATTTCCATTTTTAGTTTATTCCGTAGTGGAGACTTGTTTTTTTCTTGGTTTTAATGCATTCTTCAACCTGGGATGACGTATCAAAAGTCTCCACCACTATTCCATCTGTAATGATCTTTATTTTGCTTGGGTAGATCCAAGAATATTTTATATTTAGGCTTCTCGGAATATTCGTAGCCTCCATAAATTTCCTTCTTTGTATTCTGGTGTAGAAAGATAAATCTTGGAGAATCTTAATATTTCCAAACTCTGCTTCTCTAGTCGGACTTCTTCTGGCTGCCCATAATATGGCTTCTTTAAATTGAAATGATTGAAAATTGACTATTAAGTCTCTTGGTAGATGGTGAGGAATCGATTTAGGTTTATTTAGATGATGGAATCTTTCCATGGAAGAGTTTAAATTCTGAGGGTCTATTTTGAATAAATAAATACGATTTAAGGTTAAAAGATAGACAGAATAAAACAAGGGTGCTTCAATCACCTAAAGTGAGTCACTCAAACATTAAAAAGTGAATAATAAACAATACAAAGTTTGGTGAGAGCACACTATACACAATCTAGACTTTACCCGTAGCAATCTGAGAATCGGTAACTTTTCAATGCTCAAAGGGATCCTGCATATAAAATATAAAAACAGGAAAAAACGCACATAGAGTAAATGTATAAAGAAGATGTTAGAGGCTATAATTTTATTACTCTTTATTGCAAAATGTGCAATGCTGATAAAGACATTTTGAGTACTGGCAAACAGTTTTGTTTCAAGTCCGAACTTGAAGTACGTCTGACCGGAAGTTCGTCACGACGCAGGAACCGGAAGTTGCGTCAGACGCTACGGAATACGAACCGGAAGTTCTTCGGAGGAAGAGCCAGGGCAGGGGATGCGGCCCTGATACCGGAAGCTAGAACAAATTGGCACCAAAACTGAAAAGGGCACCAAAACCGGACATATTTAAGTAATTGTTAATGAGAAGAAATTAAGACTTTCGAAAAAGGCCCAGGCCGAAACGCGTCAAGTCTTTGCATTTTTGCACACTGGACTCCTTATTTTATGTGCCCAGTGTTTATGTTAACCCCATTTAATTGTGTCCAATAAATTGTTATTTAATTCCTTGCATCCTGAAAAAACTTGATTATAACGGAAGGACCACGGAGGGGGAGCAGCCTGGTGTGTGGAGACCATGTATTTACATTATTCCTGCCTGTAGTTTGAGCCAGCTTATATTAGGTGGCTCAAAATCATGTGAGTGAAACCTTGACCAAGTTGAAAGTATCAATTGGACTTAAACGTTACTACTCTATGTGTGTTTTTTCCTGTTTTTATATTTTATATGCAGGATCCCTTTAAGCATTGAAAAGTTACCAAGATTGCTAAGGGTAAAGTCTATATTGTGTACAGTGTGCTCTCACCAAACTTTGTATTGTTTATTATTCTATTTTGAGTACTGACCATAATTTGTCTAAATACTCAGGAATTTTTTCTTGTGTGACCGCCTCCTGAACATTTCTTATCCTTAAGTTATTTCTTCTTGAGCAATCTTCTAGCTCTCCTATTTTTCCTTCTAATTGTCGCAGGTTTGTATCTAATTGCTGATTTTGCTCTTTAAGTACTCTGCCTTCAAATTCAAGACTTAAAATTTTCTCTTCATTTAACTTTAATTTCTCCATTATATCTCTGAGTTGATTTTTGATGTCTGTAGAATTTTTGTTTAATTCGTCAGTTATTGCTACCAGTTGTTTTTCGATTCACTGTTTCAAGAAATCTGCTGTAATATAATTTTCTGTTTGGCTAATCAAACTTTGCATAGAATCTTCATCTTTCAACATAGATAGAGAAGAATTATCTGAATTATTTTTCTCTGCAGACGATTTTTTTGTCGGAAGAAAAAATGTTGAGGGTCTTTTTCAAATTTTTTGTCATATTTTCGTTCCTTATGTTTTTTTGTTTTTTTTGCAAACACCTTCTCTGAGGATTTAGCAGGCATAATCTTAATATGATAAAAGACTAACTGCCAGTACGGGAGAATATAAAAATATATTCCCTGATTTTACACTTTGATCACTTTAAGGCAGTATTAATTAAGCCATTTCATCAACAACAACAAAAAGCAGCTGAGACTTGTTAGACCTTCTGATCCTTATTCTTCTTTCTCAGATTGCTTTGAAAGAAACAATTATTTTATCTACGAACTTTGCAGTACTGTATTTGTTTGATATTATGTGATATATTGTATATTCTATATTTCAGATTCCAATATAACATAGCATATTTCCACATATAAAAAGGCAATAAGAATATTTGGAGAGTACTTAGCTAACCAATAGCAGCTTGCCACCTCCTATTCAGGAGGAAAAACCTTGCTACAAACTAGCCTTTGGTGTCTATTCACTAACTCCATTCCCCCGTTCGTCTATTATTCCAAATGTACTCTCCAACAGGGTGGATCTGACCTGCAGTCCGTCACCTGCCAGGAGCTTTACACCTTCGTTGTCAAAAGAAACTCTCCCACTAAAGCAGATCCAATTAGGGCTCTCCCAATTAAGGCTCCCAGTCTCCGTTCCTCTAGTATGAGCGGCTAAACCATATAGTAAAATGGTATTTCATGGCCAGACCCGCGGCTTCAGACTCACGATCAAACTTGCTTTTTCGCGGTCATTTCACCCGACCTCCTCCCGCTCGTTTTCCCCCGCCTGAGAGCTCTGTCTCCACCACCTCCAGATGCGTGCGTGCCCCTCCTCCTACATCATCACTTAGTCTTGATGACATTGATTTCAATGGAGTAATAATCAAGAACTGATACTCTGCAACTTATGAACAGAATTGCTAACTATCAGGGAAGAGCAAATATATATATATATATATATATATATATATATGTATTATTATTGGACAGAAAAAAAACCATCCAATAAATTACCATATAAAAGGGATAAACTACAATAATACTAGGGATGATATAGCACTGAGCGCTGACATCAGACATGATTCATGCACAGAATTGACATTAGCCAGGCCGGAACAGAGCTCTCAGCTGCCATTGTCGTGTGTGGGGGGGTGCAACGTGCCTCCAGCACACAATCGATGGATGTGCAGTGTTTCAAGCAGATACGCTACACATCCAGACTCCTACCACCATGACCCCTTCAAATCACGGAAGTCTTCATGGCGTGGGGAGTAACCCTTTTTTAGCTGTAGTGAGTCTGGAGATTTGATTGTGCACCTTGCTAGTGTCTTGTTGCTTTTCTTCCTCAGAGTAAAAAAAGTAGAAGATAAACGTTTGCTTTTTTTTTCTTCTATTACTTCTATTTGTTTTTAGAGAAAATTTTTCTTTAACATGTGGTGCCCCCTTTTAGGTCATCCAAATTGAAAGGAATAAGAATATGGTTTGAGAGATAGCAGAAGGAAAACTAGTTATATGCAGTTAATGCTACATGCTACAGTAAAGTATTAGGTAATTACTGAAGAAGTTATTGTAATTGTCACGGCAGGTTAACTTTGATATAAATTGTCATAAATGCATTAAATACATCCTGTATCACAGATATACACGATGCATTCCATTTAAATTTAATGAATATGCACTAAACTCACCTGCAATCTGCCTTCGCAGTGTTTCATTTGCCTGTTTGGGGACACTTCTGCATGTAGGGAAAACTCCTCTGTGACGCCAAGATACTGGCTACATTGCTAGCATGAGTGACATCAGTTACTCCATTCCTATAATCCTTGGCCAGCGCTAGCATCATCACCTAAGGAGTTACCATAGCAACTTCAGTGCATGTATTGTGGTTACTATGCATGGAGAGCAGAAGGACCATCTGTGTAAGATCTCTTCTGCTCTCCCTTGTAAGTCAATGTGTTGGTATAGAGTCTATACCGAAGAATTGACTGACAGGTGGGAGACCTATTTTTATATATGGTTTTCTACCAATCTATAGCAAATCTGCTAATGTAGTCTATATAAGAAATGTCATGCCCTTTGAAAAGAACGTATGTTGTAGGAACTGTGACAAGTAGCCTTTAAAATACCACTACACTAAACCACTAAAGATTTGTCCAACTATTCAAATATCTATGTGTAAGAACCTGTGGATTGTGTTTGACTATAAGAAGGCTGAAAAGACCATCTCTTGCAGAGAGAACTTGCCAGCATTTCAGTTCAGGATCAGTCTGATTTGCAAATGGTATGGGTTCTATTTGTAATGGCACTAGTGAGTAAAAATATTTTTGAGACCTGAGCAGGGAATAACCAATATGAGTGCTAATATTCTCTGTTTGTGTTTGTCTATAGTTAAGGGGCGGAACTACCGTGGTGCAGCTGGTGTGGCTGCACCGGGGCCCACTTGCTCAGGGGGCCCATCGAGAGGCCCATGCACTTAGGGACACTCGATGGGACATCCCACTGCATTAACACCCTGCACCAAAAGCAATTCAAAAATATGCTGTATAATTAATAATTATATTAATAAGGCGTGTTAAAGTGGTATTGTCACAAATAAGTTATTTGGAGAAGTTATTTTTCTCTCAATATTACATGGTACTCAGGGGTTAACAAGGAAATGGTTAAAAAATTAGACCATGGGCTATGCAGGACCTCACTCACGTCGCCTCATTAAACGTGTAGGGTATTGTAGGTTTTTCTAAATTAGAATAAAGCTGCTGAGTGAAATTCTTAATGACAGTCTATTTGTTGCCAAAATGAAAGAGCTTCAGAACCCTCCATACAACCATTATATCACTCTTACAGTACTACAGATCCCCAATGGGGTCTTATCCACATGATAAGTGTATTTAGTGTTGCGGATCAGTTTGAATGCATATTTATATAACGATGCAGAGTATAGAAATATAGCTGTATCATGGGTGGTGAGTGTGTGCATATAAGTATATGTAGGGTTATAATGTGCATGTATGCATGTATTCATCTACACAATATTGTGGATTATATAAATATATACTGATTGTATCACAGTTACACAAATTTACAGTTTTATGATTGTGCTTCTCTTTCTGTGTTTAATTGTTGTACAAGTCACAATTTTTACAATTTGGTCCTAGACGTGTCACACGTGTTGTACATTTTGACTTTAAATGGAATGTATTTTTAAGCCATTTGTGTCTCAGTGTGAATTTTATATATTTAATGTGCAGCACCTGTGACAAGAGCACTAAATCAATACCTGAGCCCTGACCTGTTCTCGGTGCCAAGTGCTAATCCTAGCAAACATCACACAAAAATCTGATTCTATTTGTAGAATATTTATTAGCACTTCAGGCTGATCTAACTTGTTTTAATTTATTTTTCTTGATCAGGAAGCAAACTAGTGTTCCTGATCACAGCCAGAATGTTTAATTTACCACATTCGTTCCTCTTAAATTGTTCTCCTATTACATTCATTTAATCACGCTTCCTACTGAACTTTTGAAAATCCTATTAATATCAGTTAAATTGATTTCTATAATAAGCCTCATTTTGTGTTAATGATTTTTATTTATGAGTCTCAGTGCGCAGAATCCTTACTCTTAATGTCATTCTTTAAAAAGAACTAGAAACAGTATCCTATTTTTAGAACTTTATAGATCAGTCATTTGTGACTGTTATCTAGATATCTTATAATAAAACGGCAAAATGTCTAGTTTTAATTATGTAGAAAGAACATTTTATAAAGTTTCATTTTTGAGAAGCCATCATGGAATAGGAAGATGTCAGATTCATGATTGAATGACTTCAATTGAATTATAATCTTGAAACAGTAGGATATTAAAGACGTCACCATAACTGAGCTGATGATATATGTTCAAAAGCACTCATTCCAAAATTAGATTCAGAGAATCAGGTTGGTCCATCAGTTACCAACCTTCAGAAAATGTAAGAGAAAAAAAATTGTAAGAGACACTCAATAGGAATTGACAAATTGCTATGTCTT